GCGTGCAGGTTTCTTCTTTTCTTGTTCAGAGCTAACTCCTAGGCTTGGGTGGGAGTGGTACTTTTCCAGTTCGGAGGGCCCCACTGTCTCCTTGCAGTGTGGAGAACTCTCCTGGGTGGAGAACTGTGCCTCACACTCTCTCCACGTCTTGTCAAGTTGAGCTCCGCACTCACTCCAGAAAGAGCCTGTTCCCTTCAGAGCGCTTTCCAAACCAAACAGACACTTGAAACCGCAAGACTACAACCCTGATCTTGCCTTTTATTATTCCTTCGAAGAGAAGCCCTGAAGGTGAACAAACGCTCAAGACTTCCTGGTGGCCTTCCCCCTGCAGTCGCAGCCTGGTCCCAGGGTCTTGGTTGTGTTCCTGTCTGTAGAGGTCACCTCTGCTGCCTGTCTCAGGGCCAGACCTGCCATCCAGTTAGAGTGGTTTCCATGATGGTGACCAGGTGTGGGGAGCACTGGCTGAAGCAGCAGAATCTGGGTCATGGCATGGCACGCAGGAGCGGGGCCTCTGCTCTCCACACTGTTTACATCCCTATCCAGCTGGTGTACAGGCTGGCAGATGGGAGAAATTCTTAAAGGCTCTATTTTTATTTTTGTTTTGGGGTTTATATATATATTCACAGAAATGCTGTGCTACCTATTAAAATAATTGGTTAAGAACCAAGTTATTTTCATTGCCAGTCATAAATAGAGAGGTGTCAGACCACATTGTCCGGATCTGCAGAGGCTGCTGGTGAGTCTCTAAACCCAGAAGGGTTATTTGTGTTTGTGGAGCTGTCTTTATTTTAATCTCCCTCTTCTTCCCTCCCTACCACCCCCACAGTCCCCTAAGGGGGATTCTTGTGGAGCTGCTGGGATGTAGTTCAGCAGCAGAGTGTTGCCTAGCATGTGTAAGGCCCTAGCTTCCATCCCAGGAACTATAAGAAAAGAAAATACACCTAAAAAAGGAAAGTCTTGTTGATTCGAGGAACTGAAGTAAAATTAAAAACCTGTTTCTTTTTTGAAGCCAGAACTTACCCCAAGACTAAAATAAGAAAGTGCTGGGGTGGGAAGATGGATTGGGGAGTGGGGAGATTGTTTGGGAGTGAGGAGATGGCTTGGGGAGTGGGAAAATGGTTTAGGGGGTGGAGTGATGGCATATGGTGGGGACACCTGTAACTCCAGGATTGAGGGCAGGAGAAGATGGGATGATCCAGGGGGATCAATGGTCAGTCAATCTGGCCTAAATAGACCCAGGTTCAGTGAGAGACCCTATTCAAAAACAAGATTGAGAAGTGATACAGAAATATAGCCATGGCCAACCTCTGTCATCTTCATGCACGTGCACACACACACACACACACACACACACACACACACACACACGAGTCCTTAGCTACTGAGTGATTGGCTGGGAGAAAAGTTCCCCACAGATACTCAGATGAGAGACAGACCTTGGTTGGTGTAAAGTATCATTGCCTGAACAAGAAAAGCACCCTTGAAGGAGGTCACCTGGGGCGTCCCCGCCTCTGGGCACACAGCACAGAGCTACTTTCTTCTTGGTCCTTTGGGCAGAGATGAGCAAGAGCAGGAAGTGAAGAGGCTGGGCCAGGGCTGCTCCTCCATGGAGAAGGACAGAAAAGCAGCTCCCAAGATTGCTCCTGCACATGGAGTCACCTAAATGCAGCGCACGCTAATACATCAATGTCTGGAGAGCGCCGGGAAGAATTTTAGGCATAGGCCTGGATGAGGACATCGCTCTCCATTGCCTGGCAACAAGGGTTAGCGTGACAGCTTCCGTTCCTAGAGAGCAGCTCTTAAAGTTCTCTTTGGAGTTAAGGGCTACCTAGCACTGTGGGGAGGGGACAGAGGAATGCAGCTTAGGACTAGAGGGATAGCTCCTTCCCCTTTTCCAGGAGGGACCTTGGGCAGCCCCTCAAATGAGCACAGAGGGAGGGGCACTTGGTGTGTTTGTGAGTGAGGACCGTATTGTCGCTGGGAAGAGCACACTGCTCCTACTCACACTACTGAAGAGAGAAGACCTTTCTATGGAGTCCCAGGAGGGAAGGGCGGGCAGCGTGCTCTGGACAGGGGCTCTAGAGATCCAGATTCCAATCCCCACTGCACCCACGCCTTGTGAGAATGAAGGGTTCCTTTGTGTGCTGAGCACTAGGTTCTCGAGTTGGCTCTGAGCTCACAATAAACTCAGGGGATGCTATGATGAGTGAAATGCATCAGTCACGAAAGGACCCACACTGTGTGAGTCCTCACACATGAGACCTAACCTGAGCCGAGTTCACAGGAAGGGTATGGGTGTGCCTGTGTGAGTGTGTCTGTGTGGGTATGTCTGTGTGTCTGTGTGAGTGTGTGTGAGTGCGTGTGGGTGTGTCTGGGTGTGTGTCTGTGTGGGTGTGTGTATGTCTGTGTGAGTTGTGCCTGTGTGGGTTGTGTCTGTGTGGATGTGGGTGTGTGAGTGTGTGTGTCTGTGTGTCTGTGTGGGTGTGGGTGTGGCGTGTGGGTTGTGGGTTGTGTCTCTGTGGGTTGTGTCTGTGTGAATGTGCCTATGTGAGTGTGTCTGTGTGGGTGTGTGAGTGTGTCTGTGTGAGTGTGTGTGCCTGTGTGGGTTGTGCCTGTGTGGGTTGTGTCTGTGTGGGTGTGCCTGTGTGAGTGTGTCTGTGTGGGTTGTGTCTATGTGGGTGTGTATCTGTCTGGTGTGTCTGTGTGGGTGTATCTGTGTGGCTATGGCTGGGTGTGGATGTGGGGGTGTGTCTGTATAGTTGTGTCTGTGTAGGCATGGGTGGGTGTGTCTGGAGATGTGGGGGTGTGTCTGTGAGTGTAGGTGGGTGTGTTTGTGTGGATGTGGCAGGGCCTGTGAGGGGTTGAGAGGTGTTGGGGGTGGATTAGGGAATTACAGTTGGTCAGGAACAGAGTTTCAGTTTGAGAGGATAACAATCTTGAGAAGATGGAGGTGATGGTTGCACCCTGTCATGAGCTCAGCTTGCTGAAATAAATTCTTAAATGGATAAAGTAGTAAATTACATATTATGTACATTTTGCTGTAATATAAAAAAGAACTTAGCACTATTCATAGTGTTTTCAAGTAGTGTTGAGGGTTTCAGTACAGACCCAAACACCCACAGGAGGTAGGCAAGTTGTGTGAAAGAATGAGTGAGCCCAGTGCACACACGTGACCAGATCCAGAGGAGGTGGCAAGTCCAGCATCAGCAGTATGTGGGAATGAGCATAGGTTCTTTAAGAAAAAAAGAAAATTCTGGTCAGGTGTGGTGGCGCATGCCTTTAATCCCGCACTCGGGAAGCAGAAACAGGCAAATCTCTCTGAGTTCAAGACAAGCCTGGTCTACGGAGCTAGTTCCAGGACAGCCAAGGCTGCACAGAGAAACCCTGTCATAAAAGAAAAAAAAAAAGAAATTTCTGAGTATTTATATAAAATGAAAATACTCAAATTTGATTTTTTTTAAATTGACAATTAACTAAAAATTCAAAAAGAAACTTTGGGCCTGGTAGTGCCAGCCTATAGTAGACAATTTAGAAGTTCAGGGCCATCCTGGGGAGTTTATTGAAATCCTGTCTCAAAATAAAAAGAAGGAGCTGGAGAGATGGCTCAGACGTTTAGAGTACTTGTTGATCTGGCAAAGGACCTAGGTTCAGTTCCCAGCACCTACATGATGGTTCATAAACACTGTAGTTCCCGGGGCTCTGATGCTCTCTTCTGAACTCTGGGCACCAGGCATGCACGTGTGCACATATGCAAACCTAGGCAAGACAGTCATACACATAAAATAAAAAATAAAGCTTTTTCTAAGTAAAAAGAAGGTGGGGGTTATTTATGACCCAGTCAATAGAGTGTTTGTCTAATATACACAAAGCTCTGGGTTTCACCCCCAGTAGATAGCTCAGTGGGTAAAGGCACTTGCTGCCAGGCCTGACCACCTGAGTTCAGTTCCCAAGACCCACACTGTGGAGAGAGAGGACCAACTCCCACAAACTGTCTTCTGACACACAGCCCCCCTCCACAACAAATAACCCTAAAGACTTTTAAAACAAAAACATGTGATTGTACACCAGTAATCTCTCTACCTCTGGAAATAGAGGCTGGGGGGGGGTGTCGAAGGTTGAGGTTATTTTCAGCTACATAGCAAGTATGGGGGCAACCTGGGTTATAAGAGACCATAAGTTAAAAAAAGAAAGAGTAAGCAAGGAAGGAAGGAAGGAAGGAAGGAAGGAAGGAAGGAAGGAAGGAAGGAAGAGAAAAGCATAAAAAAGGAGAGTTGAAGGGCTGGAGAGATGGCTCACAGGTAAAAGCACTGGCTGCTCTTCCAGAGGTCCTGAGTTCAATTCTCAGTAACCACATGGTGGCTCACAACCATCTATAATGAGATCTGGTGCCCTCTTCTGGCCTGCAGACTTACATGCAGACAAAACACTGTATACATAATAAATAAATATTTCTTAAAGGATGATTGATAAATAGTTCATTGGCAGAGTACTTACCTCACATTCATCCTTCATGCAGCCGTGGGTTTTGGGTTTCATCCCCAGCATCTAACTAACTGACTAACTAACTAACTAACTAACAAACAACTAACTAACTAACCAAATGAGTAAATAAATAAAAGTGGGTAAACAAGACACCTCTGCAGTTTTGAGTCTATTTCTAGAACCCGAGTTTTCTATCTCTGTACAGACACAAATCAGACTTCTTACTTCTCGGCCAGCACCTCACTGCATACTTCTCCCTAAAAGCAGGTTGTAGCCAAGACAAACTGTACCTGGATAAATCCTTCACCCCTATTCTCTGCACTGTCCAACCAGAACAAGCTGGAATGGTCAGGGTTGGTTTCCTTGGCACTGTGGCCTCAGCACTGTCTGTTCAGGTAGAGTCCATCAGAGGCTCGGGTTGCTGGTGCGCCTTCTTTAGCCCCAAACTCATTTTCACGAGAATTCTACTAACAGTGTTCTTCCCTAGGATGTCCTCAGGGAGACCCATGGAAGTCCTCTGCTGTCTCCCATCACATTCGACACCGGATGGCTTGCATTCCTCACTGCAGCCCACGTCTGTCCTCAGTACCAAATTCAGAAGTCAGGCGTGATCTCGTTCTTGGTTTTGACAAGTGTGATAAATACCTCTTAGTGGGTGAGCTCACAGGGGAGGGGTTTCCTTTTGTTTGAGTGGCGGCAGCCCTGCGGACTCCAGGGGTTGCCTCTATAGTGTGTCCCCCATAAGCCCGATACCACAGCTTGGAGAAAGGACGCGGGCAGTGGGCAGCGGGCAGTGTTCTGCATGGGCTGCTAGCAGCTTTCTTGAAAAGGGACGTTACTTGAGAAAGCAGGCCATTTGGAACAGTGTTGGGAACACGTCTTTAATCATCTGTCACTCAATTGCAGGCTTTCCCAAACCCAGGAGCAGGAAGAAGAAACCTGGACTGTCCCCAGGCTAGGTTTCCATTTAATCTTCAGTGGCAGCACATGATTCCTGCACATAAGAAGCCAGCAGAAAATTCTCTCTAAGGACGTTACGCACTCCCAAAGTGGGGACGAGCTACTCAGATGAACAGATCTGCCTTTTTGGTAACCTCTTGTCTTAGGATTCCTTTTTTAAAATTATTTATTTATTTATTTTTTGGTTTTTTTTTTTTTGAGACAGGGTTTCTCTGGCTTTGGAGCCTGTGTCCTTGAACTAGCTCTTGTAGACCAGGCTGGCCTTGAACTCACAGAGATCTGCCTGCCTCTGCCTCCCAAGTGCTGGGATTAAAGGGGTGTGCCGTGCCAACACTGCCCGGCTCTTAGGTTTTTATTGCTATGAAGAGACACCATGACCACGACAACTCTTCTAAAGGACAACATTTCTCTGGGACTGGCTTAGAGTTCAGAGGTTTAGTCCATGATCATCATGGCAGGAGCATGGTGGCACTCAGGCAGACATGGTGCTGGAGAAGGAGCTGGGAGTTCTCCCTCTTGTTCCACAGGCAGAAGGAAGACAGTGTGTCCTCCAGCAAGGATGCACCTACTCTAACAAGGCCACATCTCCTAAGAGCATCACTCCCTATGCGCCTGTGGGGGCCACTTTTATTTAGACCACCACACCCATGGTAGGAAGGTTTCTGTGAGTTCTACCTTAGACCTCTGGGGTCCAGGATGGCCATTTCCCTAGTGACACTTCATACAGCCGACAATTTCTTTTTTGATAGCTACATTTGTTGCTTCAGAAGCGGTAGCAATTTTCCTCACTTGTATTCCATCCTATTGCAACTGACAGAGGACTTGCTGTGCCAGACCCCGCTAGGAGGTAGAGTACCGCCGCCAGTCGTTGCTTCTCCCAGGAGCTTAGGAAATCGTATTGGTTATTGTGACCAAGAGCTAGCTGCCTTCGGGCAGCAGGACTGGCTTTGGTTCATGCATGGTAAAGGAGACCAGCATAGTGGCAGGAACATGTGGCGGGGCCCCACTCCTCACATCTCAGGGGTACAGGGCTACAAAGAACGGGAAGTGAGGGTAAGCTATCAACCTCGAGGTCCCCCCTGCCTACTGATGTAGTTCCTCCAGAGAGACCCACTTCCTGCAGATGTCAGAGCTTCTCAAATCAGAGTCACCAGCTGGGGGCCAGCACAGGCACCTGTGGGGGACATTTTGCATCCAAACAATAACAAAAGTTGATTATTTTGTTCAGAGTGTTTGAATGTATACCATTTGGTGATGTGCCTGAATCTCCATTCAAGGCTAATACCCCTACGCCTGTTATGGGGACAGGCAGATAAAGGCCCAGGGACATTCCTCTCCTGAGAGAGTACCTCAGTCATTGGGAGCTGCTTCTTTCTCCTGGTCAGCTGTATCCCCCGTATCCAGCTCACGATGCTGGAAAAAAACAAAACAAACAAACCCCACTAGGCATGGCTGGCAGCATCAGGACAGAGAGAAGGCAATTCTGCATTGTTAGCGAGGCTCCAGAGAAGCCAGCATGTCCACACCGTCCTTAGGTCCAGCACATCTCTCCTTCCTTCCCCCGCTTTAGACATTGAGAGCCTTCTGAAGACCATGCTCACAGACGTCTCCTTGGCTCGACAATGTTGGGTAAAGATCAACCTGCATTTTTACCATTTTTTTGCCTTTTATTTTCATGTGTGTGTGTGTGTGCGCACACGTGTGTGTGTCTACACATGCACGTATGCTCATGCCTACTCCACGGTGCTCTCTAGTCTCCTTTGCCTTTTTAAACAAAAACTCTCAAATACCATTTTCAGTTGAGAAAGGAGAGAAATACGGGAGAAATTAAGGAGACACGGAAAAGTAAAGGAGCCCTTCACTCCAGAGCTTGGCTGGGAGTCAGAAACTTCCACACATTGGATAAGATCAGAATTGCCAGACAGGTGGTAGTGGAATACACCTTTAATCCCAGAATTCGGGAGGCAGAGACAGGTGGATCTCTAAGTTCGAGGCAGCCTTGTCTCCAGAGCAAGTTCCAAGACAAGGAAACCCTGTCTCAAAAACAAACAAACAACAACAGCAACAAACAAACCAGAATTGACTCCAGAGACAGTATTTATTTTCCTGAAGACGTCTCCAACAAGGACGTTAAAAACAATAAACTATGAGCCAGCCAGATGTCTCAGTGAGAAACAGTCCCAAGACTTTTGACCCGATTTCACACACACAAACACTCAAACACACACACACACACACACACACACACCATCATCATCATCATCATCATCATCATCATCATCATCATCATCCATAGTAAAGGATAGGAAAGACTTAAATAAGAGTAAAGATGGCAACCTTTGCCCAACTTTTGGTTCCCTTGCATCCCAAATGAGGAGCTGATGCCTCCCAGCAGGAGCAGCTCCTGAGCAAGCCTCAGTGTTTGCGTGCTGGGACTGCCGTGAGGAAAACTGCTTACCAGGAGCATCTCATGAAGTGCCCAGCCTGGAGCATCTCATGAAGTGCCCAGCCTGGAGCATCTCATGAAGTGCCCAGCCCGGAGCATCTCATGAAGTGCCCAGCCCAGAGCACCACATAAAGTACCCAGTCTGGGGCATCACATAAAGTTTCCAGTCTGGAGCATCACATGAAGTACCTAGTCTAGGGCATCACAAAGTTCCCAGTCTGGAGCATCACATGAAGTACCTAGTCTAGGGCATCACATAAAGTTCCCAGTCTGGAGCATCACATAAAGTTCCCAGTCTGGAGCATCACATAAAGTTCCCAGTCTGGAGCATCTCATGAAGTGCCCAGAAATTGCAGTAGCTACTACTATAGCAAGAGTTTTAGGTCCTGGTTCTGAGTAGGAAGAATGAAAAGTAGAGAAGGGAGGTTGAAGGCATAGACTGGAAAAGTAACAAATTAAGGAATCCAGGGACCCCATGATGTAACACTAGGCAGTTCAGGCTTAAATGGAGGAAAACTGGGGCAAGGAGTAAGGGCTTGCGTAAGCCATCAGTCTTGGCCAAGGTGTGGTCCCACATGTCACTGTCATGGGGCGCCAGGGTTTCATCCTGCTTTGAATTATCTAGAGCCCTTCCTGGGCCTGTTTCACTACTGCCTGCCAGGGGCTACAACAGTGGTTCTCAGCCTTCCTAAAGCTGCGACCCTTTAATACGGTTCCTCATTTGTGGTGACCCCAACCATAAAATTATTTTTGTTGTTACTTCATAACTGTAATTTTGCTACTCTTGCAAATCATCCTGTAAATATCCATATTTTCTGATGGCCTTAGGTGACCCCTGTGAGAGGGACGTTTGTGGGTTGTGATTCTCAGGTTGAGAACCACTGGACTACAGAGACCTAAGACAGTTATCCCTACAGGGGACTTCCAGACCACTGTGCCTTCTGAGTCGGTGGCTCTGGTGGTCTGAAAGAAAATGTCCCCCACAGACTTATAAGGAGTGGCACTATCAGGATGTTTGGCCTTGTTGGTGGAAGTATCACTGGGGGCTCACTTTGAGGTTTCAGATGCTGTAGCTAGACCCAGTGTCTCACAGCCTCTTCTTGCTGCCTTCAGATCTGGATGTAGAACTCTCAGTTACCTCTCCAGCACCATGTCTGCCTGCATGCCACCATGCTTCCCACGACGAGAGCAGTGAACTAAACCTCTGAACTGTAAGCCAGAACCAATTAGATGTTTTCCTTTGTCAGAGTTGCCGTGGTCATGGTGTCTCCTCACAGCCACAGAATAAGATGGTGGCTTTGCTTTCTTTATTCCCTGCTTTTAGGAAGTCAGCCATCCTGAACAGTGTTTCCTGTCATTTGGATGTTCTGGCTCTAATCTGCCGAAGGTTGGAAGAAACCAGAATTACTACGACTGTTGGTTTTGTTGTGACCATGTCATCCACTCTTTTGATCTACCCCGACTTAGCACTGGTAGGTGGGTGTGTAGCTGTCAGCTGGGCTGCAAGTAAAGACAGTGTCTTCTTCACTTGCCTTGAGTGTCCAGCCCTGGTGATCCCAGCATGCAGAAGGTCCGCTAACTATAAGACACTATCTCAGAAAACAAAATTTGTATATACAGATGTTACTAGGCATGGTGCTACGCTCTTGTGATTGTACTATTTAGGAAATTGAGGCAGGAGAATTGAGTGTTTGTATCCAGTCTATAGCAAATCCAATGCAAGCTTAGGTATATAGTCAGACCCTGTCTCAAAACCAAACCAAACTAGAGTAACATACTGTCATGGTCAAGGGGAAACTAAGGTTTAGTTTTGAATTTTATTAATAGGGGACTAAAGCAGAATATTAAAATTCTGTTCTTTTCGATCTGTAGGGATGGCTCAGTGGCTAAGAGCACTAGCTGCTCTTCCAGAGGATCTATATTAGACTCCCAGCACCCACATGGTGGCTCACAGCTGTCTGTAACTTCAGTTCCAGGAAATCCAATGCCCTTTTATGGCCTTTGACCTTTGATAGGCATCAGCTACACACCAGGCACACATATAAAATAAAATAGTTTTTTAAAATTCTGCTTTCTCACTACATAATCTAATAGACAGGATAATTTAATAACATAAAGTTTAAGGACACTAGGAAATAGGAAATCCCAAGGAAAAGCCACATGAATGTTTGTCTTTGTAGCTCCTATCTGTCACTGTCCTGTGATGTTTTTCTCTCTTGCCCTGTGGGCTCAATTGTCCTTTATTCTTTTTTTTTAAGATATAGAATTTTTTTCTTTTTTTTAAGATTTATTTATTTATTATGTATACAACATTCTGCCTCGATGTATGTCCGCACGCCAGAGGAGGGCGCCAGATCTCAGTACAGATGGTTGTGAGCCACCACATGGTTGCTGGGAATTGAACTCAGGACCTCTGGAAGAACAGCCAGTGCTCTTAACCTCTGAGCCATCTCTCCAGCCCTGTCCTTTATTCTTGAAGGCCAGCTAGAAGCCAGAGGAGGGCGCTATAATGCTTATTCAGCTGCCCAGTGTTAATGCCCTTGGTTTAGATTCTAGAAACCTATACACTGATACATTTGTTCACAAGCAAACTGGCCAAACAACTGTGAAGCCCTGGGGCAGCTGCCTTAGAGTTCAGGTTTGTCTCCAATATCCATCTAGCACAGGGCCTAGCATGCAAGAGGCTCTGCGACCTCAGGCCTCCTAGAGAGTCTTCCCTTCTGTGACCTCAAGGCCCAGCTCCTGAGCAAATCTGATCTGGCCCAAGCCTGCTGGAAGTAGCCACTTCTCCCAGTCCTTCCTGGCACTGATTTGAACAGAAAGCACCCGTGCAATGCCACACTGTCCTTATCCCAGGAGGCCACAGTCTCAATGCCTGCAAGGGTCATCTGGAGCGCTTTGATGTGCCCTCTGATGCCCAGGCCACTCCCCAGACCGGTGACGTCACATCTGGGGGAAGGACAGAGGCAACAGTGTGCTGCCAAGGTCAGCAATGAATTTCACTTTAATGAGGATTAGCGGATTCCAAATGACCGGACTCAGAGAACAGGGGAGATCATGACCTCAAGGTCTTTTATCATTGGCAAACAGACCAAAAATAATTGTGGCCCTGAGATGAGGAAGACTTCTATCTGATTCCAGTTCCAGCCCTGGTGGTGCTAATTTTGATCTCTGTGATTTTGAGAGAGCAGCTGCGGGCTTCTGCTTACTGCTTACTCTTCTATACGATGGGGATTCAAATATCCCTGCCCTGGGTTTTGTGCATAGAGTGTATCTCTATAGTAGGCATTGAAATGCTGACATTATTAATAATAATATGTAATTATTCTTTAAGTTTTTGAAGGATTTTATGTATTTTCCACGTGTACGGCTGTTTGTCTGAAGCACATCTGTGTACTACAGTCATACAGTGCCTGCAGTGATGGGAAGAGAGCATAAGGGATTCCCTGGGACTGTGGTTAGAGATGGTTGTGACTCACCATATGGGTTCAGGGAATTGAACCTAGGTTCTCTGGAAGAGCTACTAGTGCTCTTTTATATTTTTGGTTGTGAGTCTAGCCTGTCTTTATTTATTTTATTTTTTGAGACAAAGTTTCTCTGTGTAACAGCCCTAACTGTTCTGGAACTAGCTCTTGTAGACCAGGCTGTCCTCGAACTCACAGAGATCTGCCTGCCTCTGCCTCCCAAGTGCTAGGATTAAAGATGTGTGCCACCACTGGCCAGCGAGCCTCGTCTTTAATGGCTGAGGCTTCTCTCCAGCAGTTAGTGCTTTAAGCCATTCCCCACCTCTACAGCCGTTATTCTCTCTCTCTCTTTCCCTCTCTCTCCCTGTCTCTCTCTCTCTCTCTCTCTCTCTCTCTCCCCCCCCCCCTTCTTTTCTTCCTTTTTGAGACAGGGTCTCACTATGTAGCTCTGGCTGTCCTGAACTCAACTCACTTATGTAGACCAGGCTGGTCTTGAACTCAGAGATACACCTGCCTCTGCCTCCCAAGTGCTGGGACTAAAGGGCCTTGCAATTATTCTTAACACTGAGGCATTCCCCCTGTCTGAGATGCAGACTCCTTTGTTTGTCTGTCTTCTCTGGACTTGTCTTTCCTCATTTAAACTGTTAAAAAGGGTCAGAGGGCGGGGCATGGGCACGCCTGTCGTGCCAGCATTTGGCCAACCTGAGCTGCACAGTATGACCCCCATCTCAAAAGATAAAAGACGGGGACCAGCAGAAGAAATGGAAACTGTGACGGCTGTTACTTATGAGTCCCTCTTCTGCTGTTAGCTTCCTACATCAATGCCCAGCTTATGCAGGTAGCAAGTCCCTTCATAGCTTCATAAGAAGCCATGCTTGCTCAGCCTGATCTGCACACGGAAATATAGGTACTGAGCTTCCATGGCCACTTAAACAGAAGAAGAACAAACAAGGTGAAAGCTGTGGAAATCCTGACATCTCCTGGCTGTGCTGGTCCAGACTGTGAAGCCTGAAGTAAGTCACACTCTCTCCTGCAGCAGCTTCGTGGGCTGCAGAAAGATAGATATTCTCTTTGTACATACACCTGTACTGAGCATGTCCCAAAACTCCAACAGTGTTAATCCCTGGCTATCTCCTGGCTGGGGTTTGTAACTGAACCAACTGCGTGCTTGTTCATCTGACAGGTGTATTTCTGGGAAGGCTATGCATTTGCACGTTTACGGTTTCAGAGGTTAGCTACGCCGTGTGACTGAAGATGCCAGGAGTCGGGGTAATCTGTGATCACATGCCAAAGCTGGAACTCGTCCAGCCTCAGTAGGATAAGCAACCTCAACACAGAGCCTGTGATAGCCTGGAGTTGTGCTAAGTACTTTACATAAATTGTTCTGTTTACTTCTCTCAGCAATTTGGTAAAATAGGCATTATAATAAGACTGATTTTCTATACAAGGAAATTAGAATCAGAAGGCTGGTTTGTGTCCAAGGGAGGCTAAGAGCCTCTGTTCAACTAATGCTAAATAAACAACTATTTATTTATTTACTTATTTGTGTTAAGATAGGGCGTCATTGTTTAGCCTTGGCTAGCTTGGAGCTTGCTGTGTAGACCAGGCTAGCCTTGACTACACAGACATCTGCTTGCCTCTGCTTTCCATAGGCATCTGCCACCAAACCCAGCTATCATTGTTTTTTGAGATACAGTCTTGCTATTTTGCCCAGGCTGGCCTAGCTGTGCTTCCTGTTCTTTGAAAGACAAATTGAATAGGTAGCTAATCCAGATGCCATACAATGTGGCCACTTCAAGCATCCAGTCCTTCACTTCCAGCAGTCAGAGCTGTCACCCGAGAAACCCCGTCTATCAACTGACGAGCAGACGAACAAAATGGGAATCCCCCTAGACTGATATACGATCAGGCACTAAAGTGGGGGTCCAAAGATGAAATCAGTCTCGTGAGACCCCAGCAAAATCGGAGCATGGAGGGTATGCACCTCAGAAAACACTTCTTTGTGCTCACATACACCGTGCTCACACGCCTGCACAGATTTCTGAAACAAAGCTTGTCTGTCTTGTTCTCCACGAGTGCAACAATTCCCACAGTGTGCTCTTGACAGAACACAGGAACAGACCCACCTCCAGAGAGCTGAGCCAACTTCTGCCTCTGGATTCCTGGGCCGGTCCACTCCCTGTCCAGGGAGCATTTTCATCTTTGTCTCTAAATACTTCCTGCCTCACAGTCCTAGCTTATGCCTGTAGTTTACTGTGGCCATGCATTGTCACTGTAAATAAATATCCTTGCTTTTTTATGGAATCCCTCTCTAGTTATTTTTTAGGTGGACACATTAGACAACATATTTATTTTTCTTTTGTTGATTGTTTTTCGAGTTCATAACTAAGAAACCAGTGCCTGACCCAAAGTCAGGAAGATGTGCGCCTGCTCCCCTCTAAGGGTTTCATATTTTTAGCACGTGCCTTGAAATCTGTGAAGTTTTTTCTCTTAACCATGATGCTTTGCTGTTTCATCTGTGACGAGATAAACATATCGATGTATCCACAACCCATGGGATGAGAGATAGGAGCATTGTCTAGTTAGAGTTTCTGTTGCTGTGAGGAAACACCGTGACCAAAAGGTAAATTAGGGAGGAAAGGGTTTATTCTGCTTACACTTCCAAAGTTCTGTTCATTATTGAAGGACGTCAGGACCGGAACTCAAGCAGAGCAGGATCCTGGAGTAGGAGCTGATGTAGAGGCCGTGGAGGGTGCTGCTTACTGGGCTTGCTCAGCCTGCTTTCTTATAGAACCCAGGACCACCAATCCAAGGGATGGCACCACCCACAATGGGCTGGGCCCTCTCTCATCAATCACTAATTTAAAAGATGCCTTGCAGCAGGATCTTATGGACACATTTTCTTAGTTGAGGTTCCCTCTTTTTAGATAACTCTAGCTTGTGCGTCAAGTTGACGACAGGCCAGCCAGCACACACATGGAATGTTTGAGTAACCAGATTTGCCATCTGTCTGGATTTTCATGATCTGTGTCTCTTCTGCTCCAGTCTTCCTTGTAGCTAAGAGTTGGATTATGGGACAGTGAAGATGGCTCAGTGGTTAAGAGCACAGGGTGCTCTTCCAGAAGGCTCCCAACCATATGGAACTTCAGTTCCGGGGATCTGACACCCTCTCCTGGCCACTAAGGGCATTGCATGCACATGGTGCACAAACATTAAAGTAGGCAAAACACTCATAGACATAAAATAAAACCAAAGTGAAGGTCCGGCTTCTGGATTTGGGGGCCCTCCATCCTCACAGAAAGGAGGACTGGGCAGGGTCCTCACTGCCAGATTCCTTGGCATTTTGTAGTCTGTGGTCAAACTAAAATCCTCCAAAGACTACTCTCGTCCTTCAATTTGCCTGCTCAAATCCTTCCAAGACTTCAAGGTCTTCCAAGAAACCTGTTTTTTATTGTTTGTTTGTTTAAATTATTATTACTGGCCATTGTGGGCCACAGAACATGAGTCCTGGGACCTGAACTGGGTCCTTTGGAAGAGCAGAAAACAACCACCGAGCCATCTCTTCTGCTTGAGACCTGAATCTGTCAGCCTGGCGGTCAAGCAAGGGCTCTCTTGAGCCGCCCAAGTCTCCCTACCTGGCTCTTCAGGCATCTGGGAATTGGTCAGACCTAGGGTAGACCTCAGGCTACCTCTTCCTGTTTGACTCTGCATCACAGTTCCTAAAACCCTGTAATCCCTGGCTTCCTGGACCGTCTGTGAAGGAAGTTTGCTCATGCTCACTTCACAGAGTCACGTGCAGACAAATGCCATGTGCAAGCTCTTCCACTTGTTGGGTTAGGGCGACACTTTCTTTTTGACATAAAATCAACACGTTAATAAAATAAATATAGAACACCCTCTTAAATCTGTAAATTCAGTCAATAAATGATTTTTTTGTTGACCCTAACTATCCCAACTTATCTAGGTTTTCTGTATTTTAACTGGCAACCCTCATTGCACGCCTGTTTGCAAGGGTGGACCTCGAATGACAGGAGTGACGTCCACTCTCTGAAGACAGATGTTCTGCGCCTTGTGTGCCCCTGGGCCCTGACTGTCCTAAAATAGGGTGACTTCATTTTCTTTTTCAGTATGTTATCCCCCAGCCCCGGAATCAGGAGCGCATGGCAATCACAGGCTTTTAAGTGTCTTGATGGGAAGCCTTTCAAGCTAGAGGAAAGGGAAGGGACCTTGATCTCTCTTTGGACAAGAAAATGAGACTTTAAACTAAAAATGTGGAAGAAAGTCTTGGCCTTGACAAGTACTATATGCGAAATTAATAATTATTAGTGCTTTGAAGAGAAACGTGTCTATGTGGTTCACCTCCACAGTTGGATGTATTTCCATCTCTGTTCAAGTAGCTTCGCGCAGGAAATAGAATGGACCTCCCGGCACTGTCTAAAGGAGTCACTGCCTTCTCTGTGTGTCCCAATAAATCCCACCCCTCCAGCCCCCAGTGACTGAAAGCTGTCCATTCGTCTATTGATTCAAGCAAAAGGGAGATATCTCTTCCAAAATAGTTCACAAGATGGCCAGGCTCCCCGAGACGGGATCTGAGAGGGCCGGGGAGCTGCGTGGACATTTTATGAAGGGTTTCTGGCCCGGCTGCCCTGTTTATGTGGAAGACATCTGCTAGCTCCTGTCATTTGCACATCTTGTGGTAATCCCCTATTGATCTCTGCCTCACAGCTCACTTCCTCCATCCTCCCCCGCTGTGCCCGGTCCTGTTTCTTTCCTCTTTTGCTGTGCTAATTCAATGGTTTCTAATTGGAGCCTCTGCCTGGCTAATGGCTTCTGACCAACTGTAAGGGCTGACATTTACTTACTTGATTTCCACCCCCCCTTCTGTTCTCTGGTCTCTTTGTGAGCAGAGTTTAAATTAGGCAAGATGTCAGCTCCAGTCCTTTCCTTTATGTCTACGCTGGCCCCTAGTGATTTGGGTGGGGAGAGAGGAGCTGAGTGAAGAGGAGCCCTGGAAACCTGCGCTGAGCTAATCAGTACCAAGCCCAGCAACAGAGCCCACGTCATTATCTGCCTGTATCTCAACGTCCACTGCCACGTCCACAGCAGTGACTGCCGTGTAGTGACAAAATGCCTCTGCGCTGGCTTTTGCCTGCTGAAGGATTGGGGTTAGAGCTTCCTGGAGCGAAGCCCTAGGTGGTCCCCCTGGCAATCAGTGGTCGAGATAGGACCTGATGCCATAGGCAAATCTCGTATCTGGAGATGGCCTTGAGAGCGAGCCCTCCTGACACCTTGCCTGATCTTTCTCTGTATTTCTTATTTTTCTTGTTTACAGCTGACCGCTTACCAAGAGATCAAAGTACGTTCTTGGCTCGGCCCCACCGTTCATTAAAGCAGTCCTTGAGGAAATAAAGTATGCCCCACACCACATGAGCCTGGGAAACTTTATTAATTATGATACAGAAACGGCTAAAGTTGATATGTTACGAGGGAATCGTCATAGTGAATCAGATTTAGAGAAAAAAGGAGAGTTAGAGAAAATTCCCCAGCGCACTCCTTGATTCATTTCCTTATACAGGAGCCTATGATGAGCAAGGGAATAGATGGGTTAATGTTGATGGACAAAGACTGTTATATTATACTTTCAACTTTATGGATAGGCTTGCTAGACCCCAACCCCCATGATGTCTGCCGCATAAGAAGGTACTAAAAATATAGTTCAACAGGTGCAGAGAACTGATTAGGTATATTTGGTCACTAGACGAAATAAAGGGTTAAGAGGAGGAAGGGCCATGATAGCAATAATAAGACAGAAACTTTCTGTTCATAAGATGTAACCACTTGCCTGAGGCTTACAGTCCCAAGGACAGGAGTTCCTCTTCTAAGATTTACAGTCCCAAGGACAAGAGTTCCTCTTCTAAGGACGCTTTGTGTCTAACACCTGTTCCTGATAACATACTTTTTAAACATTGCTAAAAGAAGTTTTCATACTGTGCCAACTAATGATACATGACTTTTTGACTTGTTCTTTGTTTGAATACTATATAATTAAAGCTTGATTTTAGTAAAATCTCAGCTGATTTTCACTACACAGTGTGTCTGTCTGTCATTCCCTTGCGTCGTATCCTGGCTATCCTATCCTTCACCCTGTTCTCCCGTGGATAGCGGTCTCCAAGAGGGACGGTCCGTGGCAGGGACGGTCCGTGGCAGTCCACATACATCCCTTTGTTAGTGTTTTAGCCCCGTCCCGGCCTGCTTGTCTCAACTTGAGCTGGTTTTAATTTTGTCCCCAAGTATCCAACCACACAGTTGTTATTATTGCCAAGGCTCTGAGCTGGGCATCAGATAGCCCATCACTGCAATGTTACAGGGAATTGTGACTGGGGCAGCAGTTGCCTTAAAGATTTGTTTTATTGTCACCGTGTGTGTGTGTGCATGTGTGTGTGTGCGTGCGTGTGTGTGTGCACGTATATGCGTGTGTAAGTGTGTGTGTAAGTGTGTGTGCATGTGCATGCATGTGCGCGCATGAGTGCGTGCATGT